CACTCTGGCTGTATTTTTTTTAAGTGACCCTTGGCTGCTTATTCTTCGGTTGATAGTGTTACTCACTATGATCACTTTTGCATACGTCCGAGGGAGATTCCTTTTTATACTCTAGATGTGATTATCCTATTATCTGATTGTCAGGGTTTAACTGATGGCCACAGCTTCCATAAGAAACATGAATTTGTTTTCCATTCTAAATGATGGGCTCGAGAATTCCCTGCATTCAGTTCAGTCATCTCTTGATGGATTTGCTTATTTCACAGGCCTATTCCCTCAAAAGGCAGCAGCTTCCATTCCCTGTCACTGCTCACTCTACTCTAGGGTGGTGAACTAATCAGGCCTTTTAGCACCAGACGTGTTTCACATGTATGCAAGGCAGCAACCTGTTCCTCTAATCACAAGTTCACCATATCGTGCATATTTTACGCCAATACCTACCATCAGTAGAAAACTGGCTTGGAAGAAAGAAAAAGGGTATTTTTTGTACTCTGTACAAATCCTCCAGTCGCTCATTGGGAGACAGATCTCTACCATCATGTGGTTGTCTTTTTCTTTGTTGGCCTTTTGCCGTAAGAGGTGTTTAACAGGAAGGTTATCTACTACCATTTGCTTACTGCTTGCTTTTCCTAAGCTTGCTAAGTGCATTAAAGGAACTGGCCACGGAAACTGAATGCAGCAGATGAGAAATATTTCAAGCTTACTTCTCTTTGAAACCAGAAGAGGAGTAGCACTGCAATCAGCTTTAAACTACCAAGAACTGCTAGAACCTTGGTATGCCCATCTACACCCCAGAGAAGTCATATCAGAAGTGGTCTTCATGGAAGAGTTGCAATCAAACAGCTGTTGGAAATAAAACTCACCTGAACAAAAACAAGTTTCATTTATTAGATGTTAGGGACTCTGTTTTGCGCTACTTAAATCTCACTAAGGACTTTAGAAAGTCCCTTTTCGTAATACACTCAGGAAAAAACAAAGGGCATCAAGCTTCAAGAAATACCATTGCTAGATGGGTTAAACGGGCTATCTTTGAGACTCACTCTGCCATGGGAGAAACTTGCCCTTTTGGGCTAATGGCTCATTCTACCAGAACTCAATCTACCTCCTGGGCAGAGCGGGCCAATGCCACTCAGGAACAAATTTGTTGTGCTGCCACGTGGTCCAGTTACTCTCCTTTTTGTCTACATTATTGTCTGAACCTTCAGTCTGCTGAAGATCAATCTTTCAGGTAAAAGGTTCTTCAGAAGGTGGTCCCTTCCCAATCCTGTAAATTTTTGCTTATCCTTTCCCCTGCTGTCCTGGAAAGACGATCAGAGAAATTTAGAGTTCGACTTACCGGTAACTCCAAGTTTCCAAGAGTCTTTCCAGGACATCATAGTTCCCTCCCTTTTTAGATGCTGAAGGTTTGTAGTTTTATTTGTCTTTCAGTTACATTACGTTTACTCGGGAAAATACTGATGGACTATCTGAGGGACCACCTTTTTAAAGTCTGATGTGTTTGTGCGTCCTGCCTCTGGGGTGCAGTCATGCTCCACCCACCAGAGGTAGGATGAGGGTACAGAAAAATAGCAGGTGCTCCGAACTGACGAGTCAAAATTTAAAATATGTATTTCTTACAGAAGAGCTGGAGAACAGTACATAGATGAATTGCTGCATTCAACAGTGTAGGTTTCCTACAGCTTGGGACAGTATATCTGCAAATAGCTTGTGATTTGGTCAAAACAGATGACACCTTACCTGCTAAGAAATACAGGCAGAATCTTATCCCTTGTGCAAAACCACCAGGGAGGCATCTGATTTGTCTCCAAGTTAATTCCTCAGCATATCAATGACTGCAAAATCATGTTATCTGCCTTGAAAAAATGAAATCATGAAATAAATGTCATGACCCCCACATATACCTGATCCCAGGGCCGGTGCTGAACTATTGTGTGCCCTAGGCAAGACTGGCTACTTGCATTGCCCAAAAAATATATATATATATTGTTAATAGATTTCTTTTAATTTGCAAGAATAAGAACAATAAGATGCCAAAAGCACATGTAATGAAGGCAAAATATATATTAACCAGATTTAGTTTGTCATTATTTACACTGCAAATGCTGCCACCGTAGTTAGTAGTTGCCACCCTGCTACCACTGACTCCAAGCTGTGGAGCGACTACAAATCTGGCCAATACATTCATTATACAGCAATGCAGAATGGCAATTGGCTATAGAGGACTACAAATCCCAGCAATATATCCCAGCAATATATTATACAGCAATGCAGAATACCACCATCAGCTATAGAGGACTACAAATCTCTGCAGTCAGATAACATGGTACCGTGGCTAGGGGTGAGGAAGAATGATCTTCAGTCAGATAACATTGTACCATGGCTGGGATGAGGAGAAATGATCTGCCGTCAGATAACATTGTACCGTGGCTGGGATGAGGAGGAATGATCTGCAATCAGATAACATTGTACTATGGCTGGGTATGGGGAAATGGTCTGCAGATCTCAGGACATGATACAATGTAGCAGTGCAGGAGTGGAACTGAATGTACCCAGGGGAGCCCCCACTCTCCCCCCCATTTATGCCCTCCTCCCCGATCTCTACCTCCCAGCATCTCTGGCCCCCGTATTTAACCTTCCTTGGAGGGGCTGTATTGTGCTGCTGTTGTGGTTCACGATTACTTGTGAAAATGCCCAATTTCGTCACTGATACTGATATCGGTGAATCCCTAGTGAAAGCTAGAGGATCAGTGACCCCAACAAGCTGGCGGAGTGCGAGTAAGCTGCTGGTCACGCTTGCGCCCTGGTGCCTAGTTTGCCTAGCGACAGCGCCGACCTAGCCTGATCCTCAACATCTTCGAGCCAGTCTGGGATTACTTGCATAGATATCATGAAGTAAGACAGCCAAAGTATGTAGTGGAACTGTGGCAGGTTCTCCACGAGGCTTGGAACAACCTAACATGCAAGCACCATCAGAAACTTAATTCAAGTGTACCTAAGTGTGCTGCACTTTATAATCATCAAGGAACATCTTAGTATGTGAACGTATGTGTCATTATTGTTTAAAGCATTCTTGCTTTACAGCATTTATTAAGTGTCTAAACCTTTGCAAAGTTCTTTATATTATACTAAAGGCGTAGCCAGAAGGGGCAAGGATGGGTTGAAGTAATGGCAGGTGCCGTGGTGCCTTTGAGGGGAGAATAAGGGGCCAGCGTGTTGATGACATAGACGGGGGAGTAAATGTAGATACAGTTGAGGGGGGTTAGAGTCAATGGTAAGCAGGCATGGTGGGGAGAGCATCATGGTGAAAATCAGTTGGAGTAGTCAGAGCTGTAGCTAGCCTATTTTGCGCCCGAGGCAAGAACAGAAAATTGTCACCCTAAGCTCAGTATATAGTGAGCTACAGCTCGCGGTATACTGAGACACCACAACTGAAGCTGATCCCGGCAATTCTCTCTGGATACATCCAGCTGTGGGATTAACAGCTAGCTCTGCCTATCCAGAGGCAGAACCAGCTGTGCCCGCCCCCTCCCCCGTCCGTTCCGAGCACAGTACATGCAAAGCCGTGCAGAGCAAAGCAAAGCTGTCGAGCATGGAGCTTCGCATGTAGTGTGTGAGCTGAGCGTGGCCAGATGAACGACTGCATCGTCAGCCAATTGGCTCGAGCGTAAAACCGAATGGCCTTCGCATCTTGATGCGTGGGTTTATACGCGCGAGCCGATTGGTTGAAGAAGAGGTCTCCCGAGTCCCTCTCTTCAGTTCTCACCGCTGGCAGCGTGAGAGAGCTGCGGCACCGCAGGCTCCTCAGAACGGTGCTGGCAGCGTGAGAAAGCCGCGACACGGCGGCCGCACGCAGAGCACACTTTTTAAACATTGGCCGCACTAAAAAATCTTCGGGCCCGCGGGGGTGCAGCAGTGTCCTGGCTGCACCCCCACCCAGCCTGCACCCGAGGCGAGTGCCTCAGTTGCCTCGCCCTTCATACGGCCCTGGGAGTAGTAGGGTAGTGAAGGGAAGCATGCAGGTGAGGTGGTGAGAGCAGGAAAAGTGGGCATTTGGCAGAGTGGTAAGAATGGGGGTGAACTTGGCAGAGTGGTGGGAGGTGGGGGTTGTTTGGCAGAGTGGTGAGAGAAAAGAAGGGAGTCATTCATTTGGTAGAGTGGGGAGAATTGGGGGCTTTTAGCAGATTAGTGAGAGCAGGTGGGGGAAACAGAGGTTGGCTTTTGGCAAAGTGGTGAGAGCAGGGAGCAGACAGCAGCAAGGCTTGACAAAAGGGATCCACCCCCAAAAAACTTTCTGTTTCTACAGAACTTCCAATGTGAATGCATGAGTTAGTCCTGTTTTGCTGATGATTCCTCAAAGCTGAGCTAAATATGACAGCGAGATCCCGCTGCCACTACGGTGCATGTCCTGAAAACCGCTGCCACATTGGAAAGTTGGCAGTATGGCAGCAAGATTTCATGCATGAAATGGCATGGCAGCACGCTATTGGACTTGACCTGAATTTTGCCTTCATATTGAGCTCAGCTCTGTGGAATGCGGAAACATCGTGAGGACCGGACTGAAGTATACACTGTGCAGGCGTGGCCCTATACACACATTACTGCACATGCACAGGGACAGGTTGTTTGCGCCACACTTTGAGGGTTGACTCGTGTGCCTTCATGTACATTACTGCCCATGCATGGGGATATGACTGCAGACAACGCATTGATTACAGAAGGAAACCCAAAGCTATCTTAGAGAAGTCCCTGGAGGTGAACTTTTTTATTTAAAATTGCCTTTTCTAAGTTAAAATTTTCCGTTACAATAAATAATTACTATTTATCTTTAACCAACTAAATGTACATTATTATTATATCTGCATTTCAACATGAAGCCAATGGGGAAACAGAAATGCTACTGCACTTACTGTACTCTTTTATAATAACTATGGGATGAGTTTTTGTTACTAACATTATTTAGGAATATGTGCATATGATGTTTACACTGTGTTTTCATTTAGACATATTGTCAGTTGGCACATCCTATTCAGCAAGCCAAAACAATGGGCCTACAGTTTCACTCCAGGATCCTGGATATTGACAACATTGATGTAAGTGTCTCTATTTTTGTGTTTTATAGACTTAAATCTATTTTTCATTTGCAATTGTACAAATCACTAAAATTTGCATTACTACATGTTTTTTTCCCCCAGCTACCAATGGGAAAGATGATGGAACAAGGTCCAGTTCTCATTATAACATTCCAGGCTCAAATTGTTATGGTTCTCAAAAATCAGTTAGGAGAGGTTGTAGAAGGAGACCAGGTAAGTCCAACTAAACCTTGTTAGCATGAACTTTAAAAGTCAAAATGTAGTAGGGAGTTCAGTTAATAGACCATTTCAAGTCTTCAAGGGCTTCTTAAAATGTAATGTCTGGATGTCTAGGAATACTTTTAATACACTTTTAGCTTACTAATTTATATTTGTGTACTAAACATAAAGTAAAGAAATATGTACATAGAGACACCTAGTGCATCAGTAAACTGATTTCATATGAGTTTATTGGAAGTCTTTAAATGTAACAATAGGCAAAATAAAAAATTTCATATATGATGCGGTTTGTCATCAGCATTACCAGCACAGCTTGTGCTTTTCTGAGTCCCCTGATAACATTACCCGTTTATTAGGGATGCACAGATAGTTTTCGAGTACCAGTGCAGATACTTGGCATTTTCATGAGAACTACCAGGGCTGCAGCGGTTGCAGCTGGGACCTGGCTCTGGCGCTCCACTACTGTCCTGAAATCATTAGTCTGTATTGTTTTAGTAAAACTGTCACATGACAATAAACAAAAATGTATCAGTACTCGTACTTGTAAGTACTCGGCAAGTACCAGTACTCGTACTCGCAAAACTGGTATCTGTGCATCCCTTTATTTATATTTATAAAAACAAAATCGTACATTAAAACAGAGATGTACAAATCCCAGGAGCTCCGTGTGCTCCTTACAAATGACAGCTGCCTCCTAATTTTAGAATTTTTCTCTAGTGTAGTCTTGGAGCATATAAGTATCGGTACATGTACTCATACTTGTACTGAGTACTGTACTTGGTATCTGTGCAACCCTACCGTTTATCCTGCCAGTAGATCAGTTATGTTTCCACTTCCTTTAACACGTTCAGAGTACTCTCAAATAAACATGTTGTTTTAAATGGATTTGAAATTACACTGTCATGAGAAAATTATAAGGGCTGCCATTGCAGGCCTCTTTCCGAACATGCTAGATGCCTGATTGTCCAAATAGAAAAAAGTTATATCCCGGAGGACTATCAGTATATTGTGTATTCATGGGTCCCCCCAAGGAACACACACATTGATTCACAATGATTATCAGTCTGTAACCAGGGTACATAAACCATAAAGAAGGCGGTCCGCACCAAGAAAAATGTGCCGACCGCACTGATTCATTCAAGGAACATATGTTAATACTCAGGAGCAAATTGATTAAGCGAAGTCTATTCAAAACCCGGGATAGCCAGGGTGTTCAGTTTAACAGTTTATGATGGTTGTGTTTACACACTGTAAACTACCAAAGGGAATAATTGAATTTGAGCCCCAAACCAGTGATTGAATCCCACATGTGTTAGTTTCACATTGCAAGGTTATTCAAATTAGCTCCCATTCAGGACTGCAATGTTCCTCCTTTCATCAATGATTGAATGTAGTTCAAAGATATGTTTATAAGGTACTAACCGGCTTTCCCTTCAGAGTGGTATATCCACACATTCCAGGTGTCACAATCTGTAACATTGTAGCCGTATACATGGTAACTGTATCACTCCTGTGAACTCCCAGGTGGCCACATGTAACCCTGACAGCTACACAACGTTGATGCGTTTCACCCCTCCTCCTGGGGCTTCATCAGAACGTAAATTAGGGGGTGGGAGTATGATCCTTTTAAGGGTATCTTCACCCCCTCATCTGTTAACCCCTTCCAGACCTACTCTGGTATTAACTCAAAAAGAAATGAATCACATTTAAAACAACTATCCCTAAACCACACAGGATCAGAAAATAAAAACTAGATGGTTATAGGGAACAAGATGTATTCTCTCTGTACTGTAGTGACAACAAAAGATCTGTGTTCATGTGGCCAAGTTCCAACATTCCTGGAGGGTGGCAATATGATTCAAGTAATCTATCACCTCAAACCACCTGAATGACTTTAAAGAAATACCTGTAAATTTAATTCTGTATTTAGACCTCTAGGGGATAATGTGTCTAACCTATATATCCACATCTTCTGCTTTTGTTTTAAAATTTTAGCAAAGTCACCCCTACATGCTGATAAATTCAATATGTAGATCCCTTTGACTTTTAGACCTTCTGGATTTCCATTGTGGAATTTATCATAGTGCTGGGCGAGGGGACTATCAACTTCTTTATTCTTTATGTCCCTTAAATGCTCACCTATCCTCACCCGTAACTGTTTGGTCTTTCCTATGTAGTACTTACTACATGGACATTCCAGTTGGTACACTACTTTACTCGAGGAACAATTAATAAATTGATTGATGTTATACATTCTTTTACCATCACTGGTATTGAATGTTTTCGATTACCACAAGGGTACATGCCCTTAACTTTGACACTACCTCCCCCTAACTGTGTCTTCTTCGTGCTGGACTTATACTCCGAACTGACCAAATGGTCTCGGAAATTGCAAGCTCTACAAGCCACCATTTGCGGATAAGGGCCCAGTATTTCTCCCAGTTTTGAGTTCAGATGGAGTACATGCCAATGTTTCTTCAGGCTTTTTCTTAGAGTCTCCCACTGTGACCCGTACTGTGTTATCAAACGGACTGGTACCTCAAAGCACTACCCCTTCTTCCTCCAGTGCTCAGAATCTGTACTCTCTACCTTCCATTTACCTTAGCTTTGCTATTCCTCAGGGTTCTATGGGGGTACCCTCTAGCTCTGAATCTATCATACATTGCCCTTGATTCTTTTTCAAAGTCCGAAGACAATGAACAATTGCGTTTAATGCATAGGAATTGACCCATAGGTATTCCCTGTATCTGCGATTTCGGATGATGGCTGATGTCATGTGAAATAGTGTTTGCTGCCGTCTCCTTTCTAAATGTACTCGTTCTCAATTCATCATTTTCCAATCTAACCCGAAGATCAAGGAAGGGAATTTTGTTCATACTCGTGACATAAGTTAAATGAATATTCCTATCGTTATAATTTAAATCTCGTATGAACTCATCCAAATCTTCCTTGGGGCCCTCCTATACCATCATGACATCATCTATATACCTGAGCCACAATATCACATGGCTCAGTTATAGATGATTATCATAAACCTCCTCTGCCTCCCAGAGACCCAAATGGAGGCAGGCAGGGGCGGGTGCCCCCATGGATGTCCCCTTGATTTGTTTATAGTACTGTCCATTAAATTGGAAAAAATTATTGTTAAGTGCAAACTCCAGGAGTTCCTCAAGGAATTTGTTTTGATATGCTGCCAAGGGGAAATGTTCCAGAGATTCTACATCTATCCCTACCAAAATGGAACCTTCTCGAACCTTCATTTCTCTAATCTTCCAGAGTACATCACCTGTATCCTTTAGCATAATTGGACCACCAGGTATTTCCCTAAGTTTTCTAAGGGGCCCCCTACTGCCGAAACTATAGGTCTGCCCGGGGGATTTGATTTATTCTTGTGTATTTTTGGTATAATATAGAATGTGGGGGTATTAAATTATTTAACTTTCAAGAACTTAACTTCTTTAGTGGTTAGTAGGCCGGCCTCCCTTGCTAAATCGAGCTTGAAATTAAAATTGAGAATTAATTCTTTAAAGGGCTCCCCCTTTAAAAGGGCTCCCCCTTGCTGTTGAAACACATGATTGTACAATGTGCGCACACTAATAGACAATTACTGTGACAAATGTATTTGTAGTTGCAATAAAAGTATATCCCTCTTCAATTTTTGGTATGTTTGCTTGTCTGAGAGGAGACGTTTCACCTCTCCAACATGCATCTCTTCCGGAAGGAGGACCACATTTCCCCCCTTGTCACTCATTTTAATTATCAGGTCCGGTTTCTCTTGTAATTCCTTCAGTGGCGGACCTAATAACCAAAGGGCCCTGGTGCAAGATTTTATCTTGGGCCCCCCTCCCAAGATGGGGGGGGGGGGCGCTGGAGCGGATCACCCTGCCCCCCCCCCCCCCCCC